AAAGATGTTTAGCTTTGACACCAAATTGAATTCTGAAGCAGTTACTTCCTTTTCTGGACTTTTGAGCATATCTGGTCCAGTCAGGGTTTGCACTGTTTGTGTTGTAAGGTTTGCTGTTGTGTTTGGCGATGTACTTAGATACGTCGACCCTTGGAAATTCTTTTTACTGTCAGGTTGGTGAAGCAGTATGATTTACCCGTTGTCAAGGTATGGACAAGGGGTTCCCAAATGTGAATCATTGATGACCCAGTGTTGTCCTCCAACACGCAATCTTCCTTCACATGGGCTGTTGCTCCAGTGGATCTGAGAACAACAGCCTTGAGGTCTTCTTTTCCCATAGTGAGGGAACCACTGACATTGACTTTTTGGTTTGGGTGCAAACCTTTTACATTCGACACAGTAACTGACTTTGCAGCACTTGATTCACCTGCACTTTCAAGCTTTGGCTGCTCGGTGTAACAAAATGATACATCTGACAAGCCTGCTTTATGTACGGCAGATTGTTGATTGAAAATACATTCATTGTCGTCTTTTACAATAATGTTCTTGAGCTGTACTGGGCTCTTGGTTTCCTCAAAATGTTTTAAGGAATCATGGACATAGAGATTAAATCCTACCAAACGTTTCACTTTAGTGGGTGAAGTTTGAAGCTGAAATTCATACCACTGATGCTTTGACTTAAGGGACTTCTTAATTGGACTGAGGTTGTGAATAAACCCATGGTCGTTTGCTGCAAGTAAACAATTAAGATGGTTAGAATATGCATAAGAGAATTATGTTTGATTGGCATGGTAATGTCAAATAATTTGGGGGGTTGGATATTTCAAGAAAATGACACATTGCAGGTAAAGCTTGAAATATAAAGGAGTCAGCATGTACTCATTATTATGAGTGAACAACAATAACCAAGAACAAAATTGCCTCTACCTTTCACAGATACAGTAGTCAGGTGCTAGGGGCTGAGTTGCTGCAAAATAACAGGGACACCAGTTGTCCCTGTTTAGTCTTAGACTACTTAAAGGGGCATGAATTCTGTATTTATAAGATAAAATAATTATATTCAGTACTTACAATAAGTCCTTTTGCTTGCCATCGTCTGCAACAAAAAATGTTTTACAAATTAAAATACATCACACATAGATACATATTTTATTGACTTTCCTCCAGAGGCTTTTCAAAGACAATAATTAAATCAAGTCAAACAAAGAAAAACAGGGGAACACAATAATTGGTATTTGGATGTCTTGTTTAGCTTTTGGAGAACATGCTTACTGTATTAAGTCAAAGTTACTCATGATGACCATTTTTAGAAGCATTTAGAGATAAAGAATCAAGTCTCTTTTCTTCAATTAACCTATATTTCAAAAAATTTGATTTTTTGTAAGCTTGCAACCTTTCAAATGTCATTGGCTCAATTATGAGATCTTGGAGTCTTTTTACTCTACTAAGAGCCACATATGTCATACCAGGTGAATTCTCTGAAGGGCCGAGATCTATCCATGCTTTTTTAAGAGTCAGACCTTGGCTTTTGTGAATAGTCATAGCCCATGCTAGCTTTTAAAGGAAGTTGTTGTCTTTCACATGTGTGACCTATGTTTTGTGAAATTTGGGTTATTGGACAAATTGGAACGCATCTTGGAACACTTGCAGTTAAAGAAGGTCCATTATATTGTTCATCAAACTGTACAAGAACACAAATAGGCAGGGCTGGAGGAGTTTGCCCATCAGCATATACAAAATCTAATACAGTTCCTAGTGCACCATTACAAAGACCAACTTCTGTCCACATGTTCATAGTGAGCATAACTCTAGCACCTTTAGCTAAATATATGACAGGTTCTAATCCTCCCATTTCATCAGAGCTAAGTGTTTGAGCACCACCAGAATGACGGGCTTTGATTGTTGCTATTGGCTGGTTTAGATTTTTTAATTTGATCAAGTTCATTTCTGCAACTTTTGCCTTCAGATAGGATAGCCTTACAGATGATGTTAGGAATTCTTCAATATTTGTTACATTTTCAGGAGTTCTAGATAACAATGTCTGCCAATCTGCCAAAGTGGATTCTCCATTTCGTGCTCTAATGAGGAGATCTCTAAAGCAGCTGTGGGCATTAGTTTTGCCATCAACTCTATGATTCACTGACAATGTGACGACTTGTTTGAACTCTTTATATATGAGGTGACCCTGAATCTGTTTTTCTGATTTTGGCAAAGAATGGAAAAGTGGTTTATCACCAACTGGGGATAACTGTGCTATATCACCGACCAGAATAACAGAAAGACCACCAAAAGCTTGATCAGCTAAACCTGTAGCTTGCCTGCATCTACAATCTATCCACCCAAATAAGCTCTGGCCAACAAATGAATATTCGTCTATAATCAAATACTGAATGTTTTGTAAATTAGTTTGAAGTTGTTGCAAAGCTATTCCTTTCAATTCGAAGAGTCTTTTTGAACCAATTGGTAGTTTGAGGAAAGAATGCAGTGTTACACCCTTGACATTAAAAGAGGCCTTTCCAGTATATGCTAGTACTTGACATTTTTCCTTAAGAACATTTCTTACAGCATCAATAACATAGCTTTTTCCTGAACCTGCAATTCCTTTAACAAGTAGATGCAAAGGCAGTTCATTACTGCTGTTGAAGTGATTTAGAATGATATGGTATGCCAACAATTGATCGCTACTAAAACTTGAAATATCTATTACTCTTGATGATATGTGCCAACTTGGTTCATTTTTATTTTTCTGAGTATTTAACCAAGAAGTAACAGAAAGTAGATCAACATCGTCAAAATGTTCACTAACATTGTGCCAATATCCTTCAGGAGCTAACGTCGAGTTATATTCAGTATCTGTGCTCAACTCCTGTAAATTCAGTTCTGACATAAACATCCACTCTTCCTTTTCTTCCTCTATAATTTCCATGTTTTCATTTTCATTTTCCAGATTAATGGCTGCTTTTAAGCTGCTCAATTGCAATTCCCAGTCAGGAACACTGTTCTTCCCACAATCACTACACAAAAAGTTCATCCAACATGCTTTATAAGTTTCATCACACTGTTCAAGATTGTCCCATGCATTGTCTGCTACATGTTGCCAAGGTTTATATTTTAGCAGTTGATATTTACAGAACAGCCCATACTGCTGATTTTGAGGATTTGAAGAAAATTTGGGATAAGTTTTAACTATTACAGCTTGCTTCCTTTTCTCCAGTTTTGAGTTTTTGCTTACAAATGTGGAGGTAAATTGCAAAAAATTATATGTCAGTATGTCTGGAAATGTCTTAATAAACTTCTCTCGTTCAGCATAAATATCCAACATGGATGGGATTGTACAAAAATCCTTATTTTTGGACACCTGTACTCTTCGTGAACCATCAAGAGATGTATTTATTACTTCATGTGTTGCACTTACACATTTGAGTGAGAGTAAATGATGCATAACTTCTTGGATTGAATAATCTCGTTGTCCGACACTTTTGATCATAATTTGCTTCAAAATGTTATGAATGTCACTTTCGTCCGATGCTTTACTAATTACATTGGTGAATGCATTATTTAGAACTGAAGAAGCTTTTTCTCCTTTTGATGTGTATTTCACAAGATATTCCAAACATGCCACATAATCTATAATAATTTGAATATCACAATTTGCCCTCCATCCTTGGAGCTGCAGTGGTTGGTGACGATTTAATCTTGAATCATTTCGCTTAGTAACAATGGTTGCTCTATACTTGGTTTGGCCTGATTTAGTGTTTATTGGTTCAAAATCTATTCTTGTCTTTGGGCAATTTTCAAAAGGAAATTTGAATCTACAGACTAATTCATTTTTGCTAGTTTCCCTTAGACAATACTTAGTACTGCACATTGTATGTCTCTCAACAGAGTTTAATAAATTCACATAGTCTTCCTCTTTTTGTTTGCCATTCAAAGACAGATACTGGGTTTGACATGGATGAGAATCTGGTTTGGACCACCCTTCTTCTGGGGAACATGGATTCCAAGTTGTTAGTATAAAGTCAACATACTGACAAACAACAGACTCTGCTTGTATACCTTGATTTATCTTAGTCTCCAGTTCTAATATTTCTTCTTCTGACAAATTTCCTTTGTTCTCATTGATATGCTTTGATGCTAAAAAACCTTGCAATGCAATTTCTGTCAGTTCGCAAAGTCCTGGATCATTTTTCAATTTTGCAACTCCATGACAATGAATTGAACCTCTCTGAACTGCATACTCGTATCTGTACCAATGCCAAGACATGGTTCGTACGCTTTTGACTTTCTGACATTCCATGACTTTCCATGACTTTTTCCATGACCTTTTCCGATTTTCCATGACCCAATTGTTCAAATTATTTTTCTCAATATATACTTACAGTACCATCAATTCGTTTTTTCCTTGCATGTTAACCAAATTGTAGAAAAGAAGAAGATGCTAAGACCAGTTAAATTCATACGTATAACACGGAATCTTTATTTCCGTGCAACAAAATGACACAAGTGCAACAACACGACGTAAACAGATACTTTTTTACTAAACTTTACAGTCCAGAACTATATCTTTTAAATTTCCTAAGATAAACTTTACAGTCCAGAACTATATCTTTTAAAATTTCCTTATAAAACTGTACAGTCCAGAACTATCTATTAAAATTTCCTAACAAAATCTATACAATGCAGACTTAATTTCCTAACAAAATCTGTACAATCCAGAACTATATCTTTTAAAATTTCGTAACAAAAACTGTATAATCCAGACTTAATTTCCTAACAAAACCTGTACAGCCCAGAACTATAAAATCTTAATTTCCTTACAATACAGTCATTGTTTCAGTGTTCACAATTGCAGTATGAGGTTTCAGTTTTCATCTACAATATAGAAAAATATATGAGTGCATCCTTGTATGAACAAATCTATTTGTTCAATGGTTAAATGCTTGCAATTCTGGTAAATAACTTCAAGAAAGCAGTACTTTTGGACAGGTTGTCACTCGGACTTATTTATCACACTCTTCCAATTCCTTGTTTAAGTTTTCTAGTTCTATCTTCTTCTCCTTTGCTGCATTTCTGAGTGCATTTGATTCGGTTAACAAGACGAGCTGCCTCTTCACCTCAGCCTCTTTAGCTAATTTGTCAGCATCAAACTGTAAGGTGGTGATCTCTGTTTCAAGTCTCTTCTTTTTCTTCTGGAAATCAGCTTTTGCTTCATCCACAGATTTTCGTTTGTGGCTTTTGGCAACATTTTTCGCAAGCTGTCGCTGCTCTTCAAGATGGGCGTGATACCGCTGTCTTCCTGCTTTAGCAGAGGTAAGAAGCTCGTTCGAAATGACCAATTTATGAAATCCATCAATACTCAATATGTGGTCATGAATGGTGCGTTGGGCAACGAAAGTGGTCTCCTTCATATTCTCAATCATTAGCTGTCGGTTAACGGAAAATCCCCTTTCTACACTTGCTTGCCCATGTGAGAGACACAAGAGGAATTTCACAACGTCCCACAGTTTGGAAAGTGAACCGACAAGACCAATGTGTTTTTGGAGAAATGCATCCAATCTCTGATCTGTAAAGTCAAAGTCTTCAAACTCAGACTTGTGCACCTGTGTAGCCCGTTCCGTAAATTCACTGTACTGTGACAACAAAATGTCACAATCATGAATATCAACCCTCTTGCATTCTACCAATTTCTTGAGGACAATCTTGAACCTCGCACAGCTTGCTTCTTTCTCTGTCACAATATGAATCGGATCCAAACAGCACAGGTTCCTGGCAAGGGAATAGGCAATTGGGGTCTTCTCAATAAGTTTTCCAACTGTAGCTGTAAGGAACGACTGGAATTCCTTCCTAAATTCATATGTCTGACGATCACTGATTTTCTTGGCTGCTTGCAATTCTTTCAGCTTCGTGGCAGCAACAAAACCAACATCCAACTTCTCCACGTCAAGGCAATTCTCCCTCTTCTTGAAGTCAATCTTCAGAAGCTTTACTGCAGAGCTGGCACCCTGGAGTACATCAGCTTTGACGAACCTTTTCATGAGACCACGAATCACCTTCTCTAGACTGCTGGCCACAAATGGTAGAAGAGGGCTGTCGCTTTGGAACTGTACCAGAAATGGTTGCAGCTGTTTAGCCACTGACTCAAAAGCAGCAAATTTGAGAGGCATTAGTGGATCTTGGGTTGAATCTCTTATCGTCTTGTAGGACTTTGAAGTTGGCACACTATATTTGCTGCTACGTTGCACCGTTGTCACATAGAAAGTGACTTCTTTCCATATTTCCTGGGCCCGTACTACAACTGGCAGGTTCTCCAGCCATCTGTGCTTGCAGTACTTAATTGGAAATACAACACTGCTGGTTATTTCTGTGTAATCCTCTCTTCGTGCTGGTGAATCCACAAATAACCAATGAAGAGAAGACAGAACTTCCTGAATGCTCCAAGTAGATGCCTTTGATCCAGCTTTGAAAGCATTGTGTACAATGTGAAGTCCACAAGAGCCTACGTTAACTAAGATGGGTGCGTTTTCGTCAACCTCAGAGATCAGTTCCTGGAATAGCTCATGCAGTTTCCAATTCACGTTAGGCCCGTCCATTGACAACTGCAATATGTTGGACTTCTGAATCTTGATACTATCAAGGTAGCTAACGATCTTTTCCAAAAGGTCGTCGGCTGTAGCATGTCCCAGAAATACAGAGGTTAGGTACCTTGTCTGCACTCTGGAGTTCTTTGCATCCCAAAACCTAACATGCAGATCCATCTGCTTGGTTTGGGTAATTTTATTGTGCGATTCATCAAAAAGTAAAACAAACAATTCAAGTTTTGTGACTTCATCCGTAAGCTTACGTTGGAAATAGGGTGCTATGCCAAAACAAGCTAAGTAAGCACATTTTTTCTCGCCACAGGAAAACTTGCTGGCTATCTGGCTGTCCGAAACATACGTTTAAATAGTTCTGGAATGTCCTCACAGCTCTTGTAACTATAGTGAGACAAGATTACTTTCAGTGCCCACAAAACTTCTGCAGCAAGTGTCTCATTTGAAGCCACATAATTTCTTATATCACCGGCACCGGAAGAACATGGCTGTTCAGAGCGTCCTACTTCATGTGAACCACGCTGGCTTCCAACAGCAGGTAAAAAGTTTCTGAGGCTGGCATTGCTACTCTCGTCTAAAATCAAATTAAAAATGTTTGTTTATGAATATCGTCAAAAATGAGCCCTAATTAAATGAATTTACTGTCACAGAAATCCTGGAATCTCAAAATTTCACAATAGCCTCATCGAAATTGCAATCCACTTATAAAAATAAACCATATTTTACAGGCGCCACAACAGAACTGAAGGAGGGGGCTGAAGCCATAATTAATCCCAATGCTGAGCCACAAATGTCAAGGAAAAATAAAAACTCACTTTTAGTGTATTAGTGTTGTATCGCATAGTATTAACTATTGTATAAATTTTGTATTAATAAATAAAGATGCGCTAAATAAAAAATATGAAATGGC